TCCCTAAAAATCACCCTGAGGCAATACTCTTCAACATAATAAGAACTATATTGTTCATCTTAATTTGGTTGCTAAATTGCCCTTGTTTAATCAAGAGGCTCCTGATGGTGCCTTACACGGTCCCTTAAGGCTGATTTGTTGCAGGTATCATTTGTTTCTGGTTTTAATAAAATCACGCTCTTAGCCCTCTTGTTCAGTAATTAACTAGAAATTGGCATTGAACCTACCTTATTTTTGGTAGGCAGTTTCCCATCCTTCCACTGGATCTCCTGGGTAGCCAATTTTTGCCTGGTTTCCTTGCTGGCTGAATAGTTTTCTGTACTGGCTGTGTTACAGAACAAAACTCAGTGACCAAAGAGGCTCATTATTTCTCTCACGCCGTAAGTGTATGCAGCACCCAGATATCGTGCACTTTAAAAAAAAAACAAACCAAAACAAAAACCAAAACCAACCAACCAACCAAAAAAACCAAAAAACAACCCTGAAGTCTCCGCCACTGCCAAGCAGGAGTGGGAGAGGAAGAGGGGATGTATGGATGAGTGCTGGTGGTGCTGGTGCTCTCCACGGCGTGACTGGTGGGTTGCAGCGTGGACTCCCTCTAGGATCCCTCGACTGAAATAGCAACTTGGGGTGCTCTCGGCAAGAGGAAACCGCACGCCTGGCCATCTTGCTCTTCTGAGAAATGGTGTGACAAAATGAATGGTAAAAAACCCAAACACTTCAAGCCCCAACAAAACACAGCCTTTGCTACTGAAGCTTTCCGATGCAAGCTGGTTTTGCTTCCTCACCTCCTTTTTGTCTTTTTTTTTTTGGTCCCTTTTTTCTTCCTCCTGAGTTACAAGGAAGAAGAAAAATAGAAGAAGCAGGAATACAATTTGTAGGGCTGATGGTTCAGGGAGTAAGTACGTTTTAATTCACCCATTGTAATTGCAGGGAAGGGAAGAGGGAAGAGGGAAGAGGGAAGAGGGAAGAGGGAAGAGGGAAGAGGGAGAAGGGAAGGGAAGGGAAGGGAAGGGAAGGGAAGGGAAGGGAAGGGAAGGGAAGGGAAGGGAAGGGAAGGGAAGGGAAGGGAAGGGAAGGGAAGGGAAGGGAAGGGAAGGGAAGGGAAGGGAAGGGAAGGGAAGGGAAGGGAAGGGAAGGGAAGGGAAGGGAAGGGAAGGGAAGGGAAGGGAAGGGAAGGGAAGGGAAGGGAAGGGAAGGAAAGGAAAGGAAAGGAAAGGAAAGGAAAGGAAAGGAAAGGAAAGGAAAGGAAAGGAAAGGAAAGGAAAGGAACAGAACTCTGTAAGACTTTGGGTATCTGCAGCAATTTCATCAAAACATAGAGGTAAGACGTGTTGGGCGGTTAACCGGATAGCTTCAGAACAGGTGCCGTCCCCTGGGAACATGTGGTTCTGCAGGCAGATGTACAGCACCACCAGGTAGGTCTCAGCTAAGCAGCCCCCTCCTTCATTTCTCTTTCGTGCTGTGCTAGGTAGTCCCACACCAGATTTCTGTCATTTGCAGTCCTTTACTGCAGCCGGCAGCGGTGTAGTAGCAAAGGGAGGAAGCCCAGTTTGGGAAGAGAGCACAGCTCAAATACCTCCAAATCAAACATGACTGAGGATAAACAGTTGTGGCTGTGTACAACCTACCCTTGTAGCCATCTGATCTAAAACTTGTGCGCAAACATTATGCTTTTTAACCCTGCCCAAATGAGCTTTGCATGGTCCTGCAGCATCCCTTGGCTACTGACCACAGGTCCCAATGCAGTGACGCAGGCTGGAGCGTACATCGGTAGATGCAGCTGCTGTCTTCACCCCTGTCTACCACAGCTCTCCAAATCCAGCCAAGATATAGAGGGATTTGCCGTATGCAGGAGTTAGTTATGAACATGTTATAAAGTGTCAGGCTGCTTCAATTGCATTTGACAAGCTGTTTCCCAATAGTGGTACCTACTACCAGTACTGATGGACCAACCTCCAAAAGTCCCTACGATTCAGCAGTGGATGAAGCCATCTTCCTCTTTTCCATTCTCTTTACAGGCAATGCCTTGAGAGGCGGCACCGAATCCTGCCGACAAGGTAGGCAGCTACCTGGTTGTTAACCTGGGTTTGGGTAGTTAGAAAACCAATCATAGAATCATTTGGGCTTTTAGATTGGTTGTTGACAAATCAATGTTTTAGGCTACGATTGTGCCTGAGTGGCTCCCATCGGCACTGTTTTCCAGAAGTTCAATTATGTGATTTATCGGTATCACTAGTCACTTGGGCTGTGAGGAAATATGAATGTGCAATTAAGTCTCGTATGTCCTTTTTTTTGATTTAGTAGGAACTAAAGAGGCCATCCTAGTGCAGCAGAAAGGAAGGAATGAACGAATGTGAATCACCAGGTTTTTCAAGCAGTAGTTGCAGAACTATCGTCTGTCTAATTTACTCCCAAGCTTTCTCTGGCTTTCACTGAGAACTTCTGCAGTTCTCAGAAACAAAGCTGCTGTGCAACCGAAGCAGGAAAGCATGGGATCTGACTGACAAGCAAGGAGGAGGTCTGTAATCCACCAAAAGCCTATGCAAAGACAAACAGATCAGGAATCGTCTGAATAAATGCACTTAAAGATACACTCACAAAATGGAAATAAATGGTGGGGTTAACAAGCGGACCTCACATTCCTGCCTGCCTTATGTCTAAAGTAATGAATCAACTGCTGGCATTGGCTGGTCCCTGGAAGAAAGGGGTTCCGAAGGAGATGCTGCGACAGTTGGATATGCGTGCACAGACCCGTGCGTGTAGGCTGGGAGGGAGGTCCCTGCGTGCCCAAGTTCCCTGTGGCATCAGGAGCTGACAGGGGAGAGGCAGAGCCTGGAAAGAGCAGCCAGCATATGTAGCTCTTTATCACCAGGTAAGGGATGCTGTAAACAATTTAAAGTCAACACATTTTTTTCCAACCGCAATAGCCATCTCTATCCTTTGCTTGGATATTGCTAAGACTGAAAGTTTGCTCTTTATTGAAAGGTGTTTGCTGTAGCAGCACCCAGGTTTTCAGGGTTGTCTGGAAGGGCTTTTGCAAGAATAGAGTGTTTCTGGCAGAAAATAAAATGGTTAAATCTTACAAGAACATTTACTATGTGCAGCAAAATACATCAATTGGGCTCGCAGTTCGTTTTAAAAATCAACTGCGGTTCCTTTTGTCATTACTAATTGGTGAAGTTCAGCTACGAGGACTTCATCAACCATGTCTGACAGCTAGCGGGAAGTTCTTCTGTTAATCTTCTGTTTCAAAATTGTAGGAGAGCTAAGGCAAGGACATCAGCAAAGCCTGGATTGAAACTTTGCATAGGTCACTCGCACCCTGCTAGGAGGCTTTGGTGCAAAGCGGCATAGCTTCAACAAACCTTCAATGGGGGTTTGTTTCAGTTTTGGAAGTTCTGAGAAGCTGACAGAAATTAAATGTTTGCTTGTGAATCTCCATTTCAAGGCTAGCAGTTTTCCCTCTCACTCGGTCCAGAGCTTGTTGGAGTTATTTGCATTGGCTAATAGCTGTAAAATGGTCTGGCAAACTCCACAAGAACTGTTTTTCATTGATTTCAGTTTTGGTCAGGCCAGAACGCCCTTCCAGAAATCTTGCAGGAAAATGCAACTCTGAAAATAACTCAAGGAAAAGAAAATGAGATGTGATACTTCAAAGGAAAAAGGCAATAGTATGAAGCAATCACAGTTTGCTGAGTACAGGAATGAATTATTGAACTTACTCGAATCACATCCAAAACGTTTCTTTACAGGAATACTGATACTTGAGTTAGTTTCAGATAATTAATTACCACTTGGGAAGGGGGAAGGAGCTGTGTATGTGTAAGTATGTCTGAGAAATTTTTTTGTCGCGTGATGATTTGGGCCCATTGGTTTCCCCCAATCTATTTGCATGATTCAAGGTTTATCTGTGCCGCAATTTGACTAGAAGAAAACATTTTTAATGCAATCACAGTCATCTGGAGCAGAAAGAACTTGCAAAAAACTGTAAGCCACCTCATCAGCAGCAGAAACACGAAACGGAGTTTACCAGTACAAGTTTGATTAGCAAATGAGGTCTCGCTGGCCGGTTGCCCCAACTACGTGGTGTGTGAGCAGCCCACGGCCTGAGGGTTGTGTTGGTTTCAGTAACGTGGTCACAGTCGGCAGAAAAAGCAAAACACAGGTGTAAAAATGACAAAGCAAAAAGGCACAAAAACAATGCCTCAGAACAGCTGTGTGAGCTATTTTTATGTCATCTCAGCTGAGGGCAGAGAGGAAGATGGGTTTGCTTGCGGGACGGCAGCCCCGTCTTTCTGAGAGTCAGGGCTGGGGAAGGAGCAGGGACCTGCTGAGACAAGGGCAACCTCGATGGAGGAGAGAGGAGACCACAGCTCTGCTTTTTCCCTGGGGCAACATAAGACCTGAGTCCTGGGTTGGGCGCTTGGCTTGCTCTGGTCTCCTGACCTGGAAAAAGAGTTGTGTTACAGCAGCGTCAGCAGCTCCTGGGTCTCCACCGATTTACAGCTGGGGTGCAGATCCCTAGTTGGGTCCTCCGAGTCCCATGTTGGGGACATTGGTGCTACTCATGGCAGCATGACTATTGCCCTGAGCTGCTTTCCCTTTTCCCAGGGTGGCCTTTCCTCCTGCCCCCCACAGACACTGAGTCCTCAGCCAGCTTAGAAGTCTGGGCATGTGTTTGGGCCCTTGCAAAAACCTAATCTTATGCAAAAGGTGCTCGTGAAAAACCCAGCCTTGTAACCGGTTACCTCTCTCTGTCTAGCAGCCCGGCTGGGAAATCTTTGGTTTCTGGCTGACATCTGTTGTCATGTCCCCTGAAATTTTTCTTATATCAGCTGAGTGCTAGAGGGGCAGGCGATATTTTTTTTTATGAGCTGCCTCTTACCGTACGTGCAGGGAGGGGGAATGTCCCTAGAGTAAACGCGAAGTGTATAAAAAAGGGGAAGCCGCGCTCAATGGATCACTCGCTCTCTTGTCTCGCTGAGCGCGTAAATAAGATGATGGTCACTTGTCTGCTCCTCTCTGGCATCTGGACCCTTGCGTCAGGTAACTCCCTTGTCTGTCTGTCTGTATCGTTATTGTAACGGCGTTAGGGACCTGGGTGGCCCTGCCAGCCCGCTGCTGGGTGCTGCAGCCCCCACCTTGCATCCCCCCTCGGGGCAAGCCCAGCGGTGACAGAGTCCTTGTGGCACCGCACCGCTGGCATGGGGCTTTGGACATGTCACCACTGCTCACGATGACAGCATCCTCTCCTTATTTTACCACCAGTGCGTTTATGAGCTGCAGATAGATGTACGCATTTATTGCAATTTCCAAATCATAAACCAGGCAAACGTCCAAACGCTCCCAATGACCTGTATGACTGAAGTCTGATTTCATCTCTTTTTGTGGCTGGGATGTGGGTCAGAGTATGGTATTGATTTGCTTTAGCCAGGACAGAATTATTTGTAGTGATGGACATGGTGCTTGTAGGTATCTGCTCGGACCACTAAAAGCGTGGGTGTGTTACATTGGGTTTTGTAATTAAAAATCACTTAGAAAAGCCTGAACTGGTTTCAAACTAGCTTCCATGGTCGCAGTTTGTATTCTGCCTGTGGCACTACTGAGCTCTGAAAAGCAAACTGACTGGCACAGGTTCACAGCTGGCTTCTTGCTCCCTGCTGGAGAACTGCCCGGCCACGGCCATGGTGGGGGCAGGACCCGAGAGATTTGTCGGGCAGGTTGGCCAAGTGTACCTCTGGACAGTGCAGACAGCCTCCCTCCTCTTTAAAACCTGCCAAAATATTTCCTTTTCTTGTAAATTGAATTATAAGTTTTCAGTGCTGTAACTGCCCCTGCTGGTATTTCCCTTCCCATGCTGAAATGCACAAATAAGCTTTAAAAACTGTTATCCTAACGGGTCTGTGGTCCTGAGCTCTCAAACCTGGGAGCATCTATTTTGCTTGTCTCTCCCCTTAATACTTTTTCCACGTGTCTGTGAATTGGAAGAGGAGACTGATTTTCTTCTTTTTTTTTTTTTTTTGGTCTTCTTTTTCTTTTCCCTGGAGATCTTTAATACCGTGGCATTTATGCTGTGAAAGTTTTCCATCCGTGGGCCTTCAGCAGGGGCTCAACTGCTTCCCAACTTCATGGCCTCAAGCCTGAGATAGGAGGACAGATGCAGTTTGTCTCTGGTCCTCCCTACCTTGCTTTTTCCTTCTGCTTTTCTGTTCTCTTGTCAGTCTCTGACAAGTGCGGATGCACCATGTATAGTGATGTACGTAATAATTTTTAGCAGCTTTACTGATTCGCTTCGCTGTGCACCGCAGGAGGGCTCGGAGGGGGTTAATGCACTGATGGCTGTGTGTTTGTTAGCACAACTGAACGTTTAAGGAACCTCTCCACGGTGCCGGTGGGATAACGATCTTAGCAGACAGAAATCCATCGCTCCGGACACCGGAGCTGCCTTTCTGGGTAGTATTCTCTGCAGCACAGGTATCAGGCTGGCGAGATGCTTTGTGTGAGAGGTGTCGGGTCCAGCGAAACTCTCAGGGCAGTTCTTTCAAGAACTGCAATGCAATGAAATGTATTTTTCATTTTTTTCCCTGGATGGAGGGGCGGAGAGACCCTCTGGAGCTGCTTTGCTCAGGAGCGAGGGCGAGGGGCTGGGGGGGTGTCTGCTGGGGGTGGGTTGCAGAAGGGTGGTGAGAAATGCTGAGTGCGGCACCTGCTTCTTCCCCAGGTTATGTGCAAGTGATGCACAGAAAGGTTCAGTCAGTCCAGGCAGGAGAAAACATTACTTTTTCTTGCCAGTCGGTTACGAAAGAAGATGTGCTACAGGTGACCTGGCAGAAGGAGACAGATGGAGCTGAAGACAACATAGCGACTTACAGTACGATGAACGGCCAAAAAATAGCAAAGGGCTATGTCGGCCACGTGAGATTTGCCCACAGTGATTTACAAATCTCAGCCATCTCCCTTCATGAAGTCACTTTCCAAGATGAAGGATGCTACAAGTGCATCTTCAACACATTCCCCTCGGGGGCTGTCACCGGCAGGATGTGTCTGAAGGTTTACGGTAAGGCATTGTCATTGCATATGGGCTGTCAACTGAGGACCAAGTAATTTTCCCTATGAAAAACCTTCCCTGCCCACTGGTCATTGCTAAATTGGTGCGGGAAAGGCAGCTCAGCTTCCTCTTTGACTCTCCCTCCCTCTCTGGTTTTACCTCTGATGGGAAACCGGCGTTCAAGAGTTCTTTAATTTTCTTCCCCTTTAAGTCAAAACCAGCAAGATCCCAAAGCTGACGTGTAACCCCTGACTTCCTCCAAGTTTCCCTGCCTGTGTGCTTCGCTGACAGCTGGGCTGCTGCAACCACGAACCCCGCGCTCCTCTGCTGCTTTTCACTGCTGCTCTCACCTCCTAAGCCTGGAAATCAGGAAATCAGGCTTGGGTTTGTTTTTTTTTTCTTACTCTGCCTTCGATCTTAAAAAAAAAGTCAAATTATTCAAAAGGCAGAGAGGCATATGCGTGACCAGAGTATCTGGAAGCTTATTTTGAAGCTGTAGTAAAAATGCCAGTAGTTAAGCTGAGCTCAGGAAAGGGATGGAGAAAAAAAAAAAGACTGAAATACAGTGCAGCTCATGGGCTTTGCCACATGAACATCTTGTGAGAGTCAACATCAATTAGCTTCAAGAAGAAAGTTAAAACGAATCATGAGTCATGGTGGTAATATTTGACCCCTCCATACAAAATCATCAACTAGCAAGTACAAGCTGAAGTACAGACAAATAGATGAACGCAAAAGGAACAAGAGTGAAAAGCTGTTTATCTTTTGAGGAAGGGTCTTGGTTTTTTGCCAGTAAGAAAGCTGAGACATTAAACGCGCCCGGAGGAAACTCTGTTAGCTTCTGACTTTCTCATTGGTGACCCTGCTGTGGGGATATTGGCCAAAAATCATGTCCCACGTGGAAAATAGCAGTGTTTGGGACCTGCCGCTGGTGGTATGACCCCTGTAGAGTACTTTGTTTATCCCTAGTGCCTTCTGCTGACAAAGGCATAACCATGTGCCAGGAGTCCTCTGTGTGGAAAAAAGATGCCCCTGGCTCATAGGGGAAAGATGACTTAAGCAATAAGGACAAGTGGAGGGGGGGGATATGAGGGAAAACCAAATCTGGAACAAAAGTTCTTTTTCCTCCCTCTTGGGAAGGCTCCTAGTGCAGAAAAGAGAAATTAGGAGAAATTCGCTCAGTATTTCAGATATGAAAAGGAAGGTGTTCCTAAGGACACCCAGCCCTGCATCATTTAGAGGGTAAACACTGACTATACATTACAGGAAAATGTGGAAGTGCCTTGTAGAGGGATCTCATTCTTGTTTATCATCTGAATTTAAACACGGAGTTAGATTTGGTTTCTTTGTTTGTTTGTTTTATCCAAGTGGGGGAAATATTTCGCAAAATGACCAGCTTTGTGTCTATGATTCATCCTTTAGCAGAGCACTACTCAAAAAAGAAAAAAAAAATATGTTTTTCCGCTGCTACACACGCTCCCATGAGCATCTCTTCCTGTGTCTCGGATGAAAACTCATCAACTGAGAAGGGTTTCATTTCTCTTGTGGGCAGCCGTGAGCCCGCTGCTCCAGCTGCTCTAGGGGCTGGCTCATGGTGGCCTCCCTTGAAACGTGCTCCATCGAACCTGTCCTGGAGGGTCACCATGAATAAATGCAGCGTTCGACACTGTGACAGAAGACTTCAGTTCACATATGATGTATGTCATCGAAGCTAATGTACGTGACGTTACTTGAAAGCCACAGTCTTACTCCCTTATTCCCCATCTCATAATGATGGGAACAATTCATCTGAACAAGCCCGGAGGACTCCCTGGGATGGTGTGTGAAGCCAGCACGAATCTCCCAAGGCTCAGGGATTCAGGGCAAGGTGAGAAAGTCAGAGTCACCAGCTGAAAATGAAACGTTGCCATGTCTTTGCCCTCAAGAGGGGACTGCCAGGGAGTTTACAAGCGGTAATTGCCCGATTGCAACAGCCCTCACAAGGCCCTTCCAGGATGGGCACCGTCGCTGCATGACGCGGGGAAGTGAAAGTGCGTAAGAACTGGATACAACACGGTGAAAAAAAAGCACCAGGTATGACTGGAGAAATCTCAGACCTGCCTGGCTGAAAACAGCAAACCCAAGAAGAAGCAGAAGTTTCCTACCCTGTAGCAAAACTCATTTTGGAACAGAATGGTTTTAAGTGTGCCTGGTGGGTCTCTTTTGAACAGCCTGCTCCCCTTCCCCCTCTGATTTGCTTTGGAAATGTTTTCCTGACCTTCATCACCAAAGAGGATGAGAATGAAACCCAGGAAGGGGATCGAGTGAGTAGATACAGAGACGGAGAGGGATGTGCCACACGAGAATGGGCAAGACTTGCTGGGTCACAAAATTCCCTGGGCATTTGCTGGGCCATCTTCGGAGACCTTCTGCCTTCATTCGCCTGGAAATCTCAAGCACAGCGGAGAAATGCCATCGCTATTTCTTAGACAGGGAAACTGAGGCACAGTGTTGCTGGTGAACACCCACACAGTTGGAAAAGGCTTTCTGTCATCACAAGGCATACTGTAATTCCTAAAAAATTTTATCAGTCTCTCCGAGACCACTGTCAAGCCTTTAAACATGAAAAGGACATCATGACCTGGCAGTCCCCCTTTAATTACAGAAGGCCATTACAGATAATCAAAGCCGACGTACTTCACTAGAAAGTCCCTTTTTCAAATACTCAGGAACACTGCCATGCCATAGCTTGAATTTGAGGATGTTTGCATTACTGCTCTGCAAGAGCGGCTAAAGCAGGTACTTGCGCACAACATTTCTTGCTGCTGCTTTTTTGCTGGAAACAGATATTTTGCTGAAAGGCAAAAGAAGAAGCAGTTAATTTAAGTGTACGCATCAAACCTCGACAGCAGGCACACGCTAACAAGCTGTGGAGCAGGACTTTACTGCAAAAGCAGGAGCTTATAGGTTTTGATTATGCATCCATTACAGCCACTTGCATACAGGGCAGCTCAGCCCTACAGGATGTTTTTCACATGATAATCATTCCTTGGGGGAAAATGTGAGAAGAGAGAGGACTGCTTAGTCAGAAGAACAGCAGATGTGGAGTTCATGTGTTTCTGTCCAGATACTGAGCAATATTTCTCATCCCCTTCAGAAACATCTGTGACAGCTCGCTTTTAGTGCTTTTTGAATGCTGCAATCTAGTACTTGAAGTTAATGCCATGGGTGGATATGTTATTTTTATGCATCCCGTGAGTGAAAGAAGAAGTTCAGAGATCATTTATTAATCAAAACATAAACTGTTTGTGACACTTGTCTTTTCATACATGGGAGATTTTGAGAAGTTCCAGCCGAAATCCCCCTACACACTTGTTGCTCACAGAGCAACAACAGTGGGTTACATCAGCTCTGTAGGGTTTGAGTTTCTGTCTAGGGATGATGCAAAAAATGAGAAATACCCACTTTTTTTTTTTTCCTAGGTAGGCACAACCATGGTAAATAAATGAGATCTAGCCATTAAAAAAAAGAAAAAAGAAGGGCAAAACTGATGGTATACAATGTCTTGCCTCCACCCTCTGGCACTTATGGCTTGGAAGATCCAGACAACCTTGTGAGGTGCATCTGGAATTGTACCAGGAGATTATAATCACCATTATGCATGGGGCACAAGCCTTTTCCCCTTTTCACAGAATCATTCCGCGTCTGCTATACCTAATTCATGTGCAAAACTTCGTTTACCTCCCAAAGGAAAAAAGATTTTTTTTATTATTTAAAAGTAGGATCACAAAATAATAGTGATATGTTTGCTACTGTTGGGACAAGAAATAATTTCAGCATAAATATTGCACTGACCGTTGTTATTTTTGCTATGTAAATAGTAATATACACATGGACTACTGCTAAATATAGTAATAGATACTTTTTTAATCAGAGGGTATTCATATTAACTTAGACTTGAATGAAACTAGAATTGCTACTGCACTTAAATGGTTAAAAAAAAGTCAGATTCTCAGAAACGGGGACCTAGAAGTAGAGAGTGGTTCGGACCCCTCTGCCACCAGCACCTACACGGAAGTCGAAGGCAGGCTGGTGAGCTGCCATACAGAAACCTCTGGACTGCACTCCCAAACGGAGCTCCGTGCCTTTATAGAGCTTGGCCTGAGCTACTTAGGCTGGCTTTGCGCAGGGGCTTGGACTAGATCACAGAATCGGTTTGCTTGGAAGAGACCTCTGGGATCACCAAGTCCAACCTTTGCCCTAACACCCCTGTGTTCAACAGACCATGGCACCAATGTTCCTTCAGTTCGTCATTCTTGCTGACTAAGACTAAATGTGATAGCATCTGTAAATCTTCTAGGGTGAGAAGGAATTCAGAAGAAATGATCTTTAACAAAGGTTTTGAGCAATACCGTGACGTTCCCAAAACCCGTCACCAGAGGGAAGAAAGTTGTACAACCACAAAACCTCCACAGGTGAAATCCTGTGGTGTAACTGCATACAAATGCACTATTACTATCTTGCATCAATAGATGCATTTAGTCCTTTGGTCCACAAGCCTACACATCTCAAACAGAGTAAAGCGAACCCTGCAGGTACATTTAAGGGAAAAGAACAAGAATTTTGACTCCTTGAAGCTGTTCAGCCCTTCCCGAGGGAGGAGGACATGTGGTTTCATCGTTTTACTACCTGTTGCTTTTTACTTGTCCATAATCACCCCTTCTCAGTTGGGATGCCACAGTGCTGCAGTTAATAAGAGAATTGAAACACAGAGGCTTTTACTCGCTTGTCCTTTGTTTTTGCCAAACTCTTCATTTCCAGACTGCTGCCTGATCACCTTCGTGTTTATTTGTCACTGCCGGGGCTTTGGCGAGGGAGAGGCAAGACTAACTATCCAGGTTGTCCTCCGAGATAATGGTAAATACAGATGCTCTTTGTTCAAATGCGAGCAGAAAGTAATGGATTTTGTCGCTTTGTGTTTTACAGCCATCTCGGACCCCAAAGTAGAGGCTAAACTTATACCCAGTCCAAGCAAAACTGAGGACTCTGAGAAAGTGGTGGAGATGAGCTGCTCAGCAACAGGGAAACCAGCTCCAAAAATCACCTGGCGCCTTCCCAGCATCCTGCAGAAGAAACCGAGGGAGTACCACGTCAAACTCGGCAACCAGACCGTGACTGTCATCAGCAATTTCACCCACGCCCACTCCAAGATCCTCCAGGAGTACCCCATTGCCTGCGTGATCCAACATCCCTCTCTAAATGTGACCCTGGTCCTGCCTGTGGACAGCCTGGCCCGGGGTCAGTGTGTAACCCTGCTCCTGCCCTGGGGTGGGGAGGAGACCGCGAAACATCTCCTGGGGTGGATCTGGAAACTCCTCGGAGGGTTGGGGGTGGACGGGGAAGGCACCTGGAAGAGCAGCCGGGGCTGGGCTTGGGAGGGATGGAGGAGTAGGGGAGCATCCAGACAGCTTGGGTGATGGCACACAATGTCGTAGGGCTCATTGAGTCCCCTATACGCCATGATGTGCCCCAGCCTCCCTGCCCCTGCAAAGGACTTGCAGGGTTTCCTTGTCACGTAGCCGGACCCACCAACAAGACGTGCTGGATCTGGGTAGCTCTGAGGGGCAGGGTGCTGCACGCCCGATTGTGGCCTCAGACTCCAAGCACGGGTCTGCTGGTGGTGCTACTTGTGTGGGTGCTGCCATATGCTCCCGGTGCCCCTATCCACCGCGGAGACTGGCCAAGGGATGTCTGAAATGGGTTTGAGGTTTTTTTATTTCCTTCATGCACAAACTGAGTACCTGTTGCTTTCCCCACAGGTCCAGACAGCAGCGTGGCACCAGCCGTTGCCATTGCAGTGGGGGTGCTCGTCCCCTTGCCTTCCCTTCTCCTTCTCGCCTGCCTCCTCCGCCACTGCCTCAAGTACCTACGTGACCCGGAGAGAAACCCAGCCCGGCCATGCTGGGTAGGTCTGCCTTTCCCTGGGGTGCTGCGGGGCTCATCCCCACCGGTCACAGGGCTCGACACCAGGACCTGGCTCTGCCCAGCCACCCCAGGGCTGGTTGGATGCTGCCCAGCCCAGGCTGCACTCGGGCTGGAGAGGGACAAAGGGATTAGCCCCCAGCCAGACGGCTGGGTAGCAGCATGCCGGGAAGGGGAAACCTGAGCATGCGTAGCCAGGCTGATAGGCACCCGACAGCGACGACAGCTAGAAACCATTCACTTTCTCAATGCCAAGGCATGCTGAGAGGGAAGCGTCACTCTGTTCCTACATTTATGCACAAAATAGCTGTGCAAGCAGTGGCCGTACCCTTGCACCATTCTTCTGCATCTCCTAAGATAACCTCCCTCCGGCATGGCCAGTGTAGCTTGTGGAGGAAGCAGCTTCAAGGATGCGTGTCAAACAAAATGGGGTCTTAGATTTTTTTAAAGCCCAGGGCGTCGCACTGCGGCAGGGGCTGAGGCACTGCCCGTCGTCCACTGAGGCTGTCCTGATGAAGAGGGTGAAGGATGCGAGCTCGAGGCGGGGGTAAACTGAGTGAGGTGGCATCGCTTCAGAAAATCCCAGCCCAGTTTTGCACTCGAGACACCTCAGCCTCCTCGCAGGATATGCCTAGAGCGTGCACCTTGACTTTTGATGAGTGTTTTGGAAAAAAAGAAGCAGTGGGAGGAAATGCGATACATGTCTTCTACGGGCACCATGCCTCTAGGTCCAAGTTGGAGCCTGCTGGGGGGATTGAGAGGGGAAAACATTAGTCTCTCCTCACACAGAGAGATGCAAGGACCCGTTTGCTAACACAAATAGCTTGGATCTTTACCTCCGCACTTAGAACATCCCTATATTTCGAAGAAGGAAAAAAAAACAACTCAACCACTTCTCTTCTGTTAGGTCCTTCCTGCCTGTACCAAGGCCGAGAAGTGCGGGCTGTACGGAGCTGTGGGCAGGCGAGCTCCCATGGTGCCCCCCACCTGAGCGGCTGCCTGCCCTACGCCTGGGAGAGAGAAACTTCTTACAACAGTACCTCGGGCTTCCAAGCAAACCTGCTGTGACTCACTCCAAGAGAAATACAAAAAAAGGACAATTTATAATAGAGATTTATTTATTTTGTTACACTATAATATTCCGTTTTGTAGAAAAAAGCTGTAAAATATTTATTCGGGACTCAGGCTGGCTGCATTGATCTGTGTAATGAAACTCATGTTTTGTATTTTCTGGGGTTTTGAACATTGTGTTTATTCCTTTCTGATATTTTAACATTGCAAGCTCAAAACTGGGGGTGGGGGGACACAGGATTGTCCAAAACAGGGCAGCATTTTGTAGTGTTGCTGATGGGCCAAAGGAGACCCTTGCCAGGAGCAAGGGCCTCGAGAGATCGGGGCAAGACTGCAGCCGGCCTGAGCTTGTAACCCAGGTTGCAGGAACGATAGGTTTCAAGCCAGGAGTCATCAGGCAGGAGGAAGTTGCCAACTCCAACTTCCACTAGCCTTTCCTAGAAAGTCATCCAAAAGCCAAGAGCACATAGATGTTTCCTTCTCCTTTCTTCTTCTATGGCTTCCACAGCTCTCTTCTTAATTTGGGCAAGACTGCAGCCGGCCTGAGCTTGTAACCCAGGTTGCAGGAACGATAGGTTTCAAGCCAGGAGTCATCAGGCAGGAGGAAGTTGCCAACTCCAACTTCCACTAGCCTTTCCTAGAAAGTCATCCAAAAGCCAAGAGCACATAGATGTTTCCTTCTCCTTTCTTCTTCTATGGCTTCCACAGCTCTCTTCTTAATTTCCCTAATCTGTCACAGCTGCCTTGTGTTTCCAGGCATCCCACCCACCTGTAGGAGGAAGTAAGGAAATAAAAGGGCAGTTGGAGGGGCTGTAGGTGGTCTGGTGGGTTTTGTGTGTGTCTTGGTATGGTGGCAGGTGAGTGCTGTGGGAAGGAGGAGGCTTGGTATGGTGGCAGGTGAGTGCTGTGGGAGGGAGGAAATTGGTAGGAGTGAGGGGGTGGATGCTCTCTGTGGGCAGATATACACCAGTGCAGGGTAAGAAGTGTTACCTGTTGCTCAAATTCATTGCTTATAACCTGTAGGCCAGATCTGAGAGGTTCTCCTGTCGTTCCCTGAGTCCCATCTTATGCCAATGAAATATTTCCTTATAGACCCAAGGAAGGAGAAATGAGCCCACTTGGCTGGTGTGGTCTTCTGGGCAGCATGACAGGCTGTTTCCTCTCTTCCTGGCTTCCCGGAGCAAGTGCAAGTCATCTGATTCCTCCTTACCCATCTATTTCAAATGTGCATCCCAGATGAATCAGACTGAGTTGTAGCCAAAAAGCCAAGTAATCTAAAATGAAAGCGAGTGGGTGAGTTGAAAATGAATAAACTCTGTTTGTGTCATAAAATGCTTTTTTTAGGCTCTGTAATGATTAGTAATAGCACAGCTGGTAGAGTGTGGAGAAAGGGGAACTAGTTGCAACTGCCAAAATCAGGAATTTTTCTCCTGAAAAAAAATTTTGTCCAATGTTTCCTGCCATTGCATCTTAATTTC